TGAATGTACTTCTAATTCTCACTGTGTCCAGGGCCTGCAGTGATACATTGCAAGATGATGGAGCTGCATCTGTTTTGGTGCCTTACCACGTGTTGCTTTTACTCCCATTATAGTTGGGGACAGAGGCCTGCTGAATATGCTTTATTAAATATATTATAGCAAACAGTAGAAGCATTAATGTTGGCCTATTGTTTGACTGTAGAATGGCCTTACATTAACTATTAACAAATATTACAGGGCTTTCTGTGTTGAGTTGGGTTATATTTTGTGGTGCTATTCCATACAAAACACTTAGCCTAGCACTTAACTCAACGATAGAATGCATGAGGACAGAGAGCCAATAAGTGGATCTTCTCTTCAATAAATCAATCACCATTTGGTTGTGGAACTGGCTCTATAATCCACCTCTCTAGTAGTACATCCTGCTTAATTGCAGGTTCCTTTAAAGTCATTCTCTACACTGTTGGGCCCTTCATCACTATGGAAACATTCAGAAAGCAGCATCATGTCTACCATAATGGGAGCATATTTTTTCCTCACAGCAGGCTAACATCAGAAGTAGTCAGCCTTGCTTGACAGTGCCGGGGAAGTTCGCACTGCAATCATGCTTAGTTGTTGTTGGATGCATTAGAAGACAGATCAGTCTTGCCCTTGCCATTATACATTATCAACCAGAGATCTACCAGTAGATCATGATTTATCTTCTGTCCAGTGGTGATTCAGTCACACCCTTTGCCCAGAGGACATCTGCTGGAAAAACATTTGGAAAAACAAAAGCGCAGCTGCCCTCCCTGCGTCGCGCGTACATGCGCATAACGGCGGGGTCCCCCAGGAGGCCTCCCTCGGCCGTGGCCCCCCCCCCAGGAGCCTTCCCTCAGCAGTGCCAAGCCTCTGAGAGGCCCAGCGCCGCCGCAGGGGCCCCCCCAGGAGGCTTCCCTCGGCAGCACCGAGCCTCTGAGAGGCGGCGACGGCGGCAGGACCGGGCAGGGGCCGGTCCGAAGGCCTCCGCGGGTTGCACCCAGCCCGCGGGCCATAGGTTGCCGACCCCTGAGTCAGACCCCTGAGTCAGATGGCGATCCAGTTTGACCTAGGAACTCAGCATTTTCCCAAGGAGGACTGCTCTTTCAAATAGCTCTTACAGTTACAAAGCTTTGAATGCTTAGGCCAAAATCCACTTTGCTCCTTTTGCATCAGTTCAGATCCTGCGCTCTGAAACAAGTCTGTTCCATCTTCTGGTTAAAAACATTTAAAGGGCATTTTCCCCCAGTTACCTAAATGCATAGGTTTAATAGTCTAGATTGCAACTGCTTGCACTTGAAGGCACACAACAGCAACAACGAAATACCTTAAAGACACCAACCAGATCCTGTCTGATCTTGGAAGCTGGGCAGGGTCAGTCAGTAATTGGATGGAGGACTAGCAACAAATACCAGGTGCCGTATGCTATATTTCAGAGGAACGTACTGCCAAAACAATTCTTTGCCTGAGAAAATCCTATGAAATTCATGGGGTCTCCATAAGTCGACAGGTGACTTGAAGGCACATGCATACAGATGGAAGAGTTCATTACAAGGACTTGTAACGTATGCTGCATCGGAGAACTAATCTCTGAACACATCAAATTACCTACTTGCTTCTTCCTTCTAACCTTTAATCACTCAATTTCTCTTCTCATGGCACTTTTTTTCCATTTTAGAAAAGCAGTGATAGTAGCATAAAACAACTGGTGTCTATAAGATCAAGGGGAAGCAAGAGAGCCTCCCCTCCTATTTTACACTTCCTTTGCCCCACTGCCAAGTGTCCACATTTTGAGTGTGGATGTTATAAGAGGAGAAACCTATGCACACGCGTTTAATGCAGTCTAGAACCATATTGCTCAATGTTCTCAATCTCATGGAAGCTTATGGACTTGACGGGTTTTGTATGTTGTCCATACCCAACATATAGAAATTGGGGTGCACGACAGCCCACAGTGCCAGGAGCAGGCTTAGCAGTGTGACTTCATTCCCTCTACATCACAAGGAATGTCCTTCATGTGTAAAGCTATCTGTAATCTCCATGTTGGCTGAGGAATTCTGGGAAATGCAGCCCAAATTAGTAATGTTTCCAAGCCCTGTCTGTAGTCCTCTTATCAAACTGAAAGCAGAGAATGTGAGTGACCGTATGGAGAGCTTTGTTGGTTCAGGCCAAATATTCAGATCCCTTTGTTTTGTAGCAAACTAGGATTTTTGCAAGTCCACAAGCAGATTGTGAACACTATAGCTCCAGAGATATATTGAATGAACATGGAGTTCTATTTACCTATCAAGAATCGTATCAAGACTAATTGCCGCCTCAAAAATATAAAAGCTGTTGGCAGTTTGTCATAAAATATAGAATTTAGTCCCATAGGTTAACTATATGTTGTGTCAAAAATAGTGCTTCGTTTTGTTCATTTTGAATGTATTGGTAGAATCATAGAATCATAGA